CTCTCGGATCGAAATTCAAAAAGTCGATTGTCGCACTTCACAGCAAAGTCAATTGCTTGACTCAATGTTTGAGGATCAGGTAAATTAAGCATCAATTTCTTTACCTCATATTGTAATCCGTAGAGAAATTGACTCACAAGTGCGGCATCATCCCACTTGATATCAGTTGCAAGTTGTCGAAATTGCGAAGCATATAATGTTATTGATCGATTGCCTTGTCGCAAAATACGGATCTTGTTGGTTGCAATACGAATTGCATCATGTTCTCCAAACATGGATCGAAACTCCGCCAAAAAAGCCTCCAGATTATCCAATATTGGATCTCGTCGTTCAAGAAAAGATGAAAACCATGACAATGCTGATCCTGAAAGAAGTGTACCAATGAATCTAACTTGTGACCCTGGAGTTGAATAGCTCTGGGGTTGAAGTTCAATCACTAGTTGGACCTGATTGATGAATCCTCGAAACTTGGATCTGGTACCATCAAACTTCTCGGGCAAGGCAACTCTCGGTTCTCTAACACTTGAAGGGTGTTCCATTCTGGGAGAAGGGACATGGTTCGGTGCAGATGTTGAAGCAGCCCCAATCATCTCTATATCTTCACTTCCTACCATTCTTGTTGCTCCTTGTGGTGGTAAATTGAGTTGATGCATCGCAAGCATTAACTCCCTCAATTGTTCTTGCATCTGTGCCATTGTACTCTTCATTTCAAGAAGCTCTGCCATAGTAGCACTTAGAAAAGAGAAGATGTCTAATAACGCTCAAAACAAATAGAAGAGAGGAATTGATAACAAAAAAAATACTAAAAACAATATCAGTTTAAAAGAGGGTAATCCGCAACTTCTAATGCGCTTATGTCTTATCAAGAAAAAGGGGTAATCCACTCTTAATCAAGAAAAGACAAAGCTCTGATATTGTAAGTGTACTCTTGTCAATCTGTCAAGGACAAGAACTCGATGAAAGCTAAAGAGTAAGTGAGACTTTTCTCAAAAAGAAATAGGACAAAATAGAAATATGTATATTAAGAAAGAAACTGGAATGGCTATTGCCAAAATACAAGAAAACTAGAGACCCTTGAAACTAGACTAGAAGCAAGAAAGGAGTTGACAAGAGTGAAGAGGGCTTCACTCTTGCCTCTATATATACTATCTAACTAGAAGCCACGTGGCGATGTTCTATAAGACCTCCAATATATGTTGACTTTCTAGGCCACATGCCTTTGTTTGCAAGGCAAGTTTTCTATGGATGGACCACGTAGTTAGCTTGTTCTTTAAGCTTTCAACATGTGTGGCACATGGCTAACTTGTTGACCAAGTTTCTAACCTAAAAGTCAACTATAGACTCCTATAAAGTCAAAGCAGCGTCTATGAAGCTTCTAAGAAGCTTCTCTAGAAGATATTACACAATTAACCTACTTTTATCTACTTTTACATACTTTTATCTATTTATATAGGTAATTATATGTATGTCCGTGACAATGACATCTTATCTTACTCTTCTTTATCTATATAAAATTAGCCAAAGAGACGAAGTAAAGAATAGCGATGGACAAAGAGGTGATTTAAGATCTAACTTGATAGCGGTAGAGAGTTTATACAATCCTTTTACCCTATTGAGGTACAGGGGATGACAGCGGCTGTAAATCCTAATGGAGTTCTAATGGCAAAGACAATTATAAATCTTCTTAGAGGAACATTGGCAATGACAATTGCAAATCCTTGTAGAAGAATATTGGCAACAATGGCTATAAATCTTCATGAAGTAACATTGGAGACTATGGCTGCAAATCTTCATAGAAGAATGTTGGTAATGATAACCTCTCTTAATCCTACTATAGTAGTAATAGCAGCTTTAGATACCTCTTCCTTGATTTGTGATGAAGATCTGCTATATTTCAATCTCATATTCTATGCTTCACTTGCCATGTATAATAATACTAATGCAACATAAGCCCATCTAGCTACTATTTAAGTCAATGTGGCTCCAACCAGCATAGTCCAAGCCAGCTAGATCTATGCTAGTATGGCTCAAGTCTACTTGGCCATAATCCTCGACAACACACTTCAACCTGATACAATCTAAATTCTTCTAAGTTAGGATAGCAAAGTCCTTGCGAATATGGCTACAAGGAAGAGCCAACTCCAAACAATAGCAAGCAGCTTTCCACTTAGTCCATTTCAAATTCAAGTAATATTTTGATGTAATGGCATTATTCATTGGAGCACATTAATCACCTCAACATTCAATATATGAGATGCCATCACTTTATTTATGGATCACTTTTATTAATAAATCATTTATCTTTTTGTAAAAATTGAGTTTGTGGTAAATATAGTCAAATGTCTTCATCCAAAATACTTATTGCATGTATAACAATATTGTTGGCATTAGTCTATTTTGACCTTTATGGTCCTATGGCTATTCTTTTTTTTTGAAGGGCTTATTATTTCTTATTATTTTTTGATGATTACTTGTACTTTACAAAAATATTTTTTTTCAAATAGATATTTAATTTTTTTAATTTTCCAAAAATATCATCACCATGTTACTATTCAATTTGATAAACCGTTATTATTTCTTCAAATGGATAGTGGTAGAAAATTTATAAGTAAGAAATTCTCTATTTATTATAAGTTTCATGATATTCTTTAATATTTCATGATTCCTTAAATTATTTCTCAAAATAATATAGTTAAGAATAAAAATCAGTCTCTTATCAATTCATCTTGCACCTTATTATGTGCAACTAATCTTACTACTAATTATTGGACTAAAGCAGTTTTTAATGCTTGTTATTTACAAAATCCATCTTTTTATTCTTTGTTGCCAAAGATTACTTTCTAAGAAAGGTAGATTGCTCTTAAAGCAAACCTCTATTAGTTATGAGTTTAGCTTTTGCTAATATATCAAATTTAATCTTTTCACTTGTGAATATTTATTTCTTGGATGTGTCAAACTTCTTGGAATTAAAAGCTATTGAATTTATAATTTAGAAATTCATAAGTCCTTTGTCAATTGAGATATAATTTTCAATAAAGATTCTATATTCTAACCTATTATTTCTTTGGAGTCTGTTCTTCTCTTAAAAGTGGTGAACAATCCTCCCATAATATTGATTGTAGAGTACATGGTGTTATCTATCCTATCAAGGTTCCTACAAGCACTCTATACACCACTTACAACACTAAAGGTGGCTCTTGTAGTCATTCCACCTTCATTGGTGGCTCCATTGATTCCACATGGTGTGCCTCCATATTTACATGATTTGGATACATCACTTGTGTTGAAAATAAAGGCTCTTCTTTCTTATCTGAATGACCTTCTTTCATAACCAACCTTTGATTTAGGACTTCTATTCATTGTGGATCTTAGTGGTCATGAAGAAACTACTTTAAAGGATGCACTTGAAGTTTATTCATCATATTCTCTTATGCCTCTCCCGTCCAATGTTATGGTTATTGGCCTTTCTAATTTTATACCTATTTCATCTAATTTTTCTCCTATTCATCCTCTACAAGATTCCTTGAAAGACAGTCCACTTTGACCATCCACTCAGATCACTTATGGAACTTAGAAAGTACTAAAAGTCTTATGACACCGCTTTGTATGTTAGTGGATTTTTAGCCACCTTGGCAGATCCACTTTTGATTTGTAAGCTCTTGTAAGTGAAATTGCCTTATATTGCCACCAAGTTATAGAAAGTGAATATAATTCTTTAATCGAGAATGGCACATGAAAGTTAGTAACTTGTCTTCTTAATTGCTGTATTGTGAGCACTAAATGACTATTTTGTCAAAAGTATTAACTTTAATATGGTAGTAAATTTTAGAAGTATAATTACTTTGAACAAAGTTAGTATAGCCACGTGATGTCTCTATTGATCTAATTGGATGTTTAATAGTTTCTAAATTATTTTTACTATATACATATGTAAATCTTCTAAATATATTTTATTATTAATTTAAGAAATATATATATATATATATATATATATATATATATAATATAAAATAATATATTATATAAACATGGAATATATCTGAAGATTATTTTTGAGATACAATGTGACCATACAAACTTATTATGAAAGTTTTATATCTTTAGGAAGTTGCAACAAAAGCAACTTATGATTTGGATATTTAGGCCATATGTCTCAAGTTTTATAAAAAAACTTATATTTGGCCTTATCGGTAGATAGAATAAATAGAGGCAAAGTTGAGGCCAATCTTAATCTAATTATTGCCTTTTTTTATCTACTTGCCTTAGTTTAAGGTTTTATGATTTATCCTTAATTGGCCATAGCCATCCTAATTCTTTTCTATAATATATTTATAACTTCTCTCTTGGTTTATATATGTTAAAGTTTTTAAAGATTAAAGAATTTATAATATATATACATAGTATACAATATACATCCATATTGTAACTAAATTGACATCTGTGTTAGCAGAATTGATTTGGTCCAATTTATATGAGTTTGGACGAATTTTAAAAAAAAACACTAATGTAAGCTACAACCTTGTACAATAGCCCAATACTGTCAACCAAGGATACGAGGGAATGAGTAGCCTCTTTCTAACTTACACCCTATTGTGTCAACAAGGAAATGAAGAAAAGAACAAGAAAAGAAAAGAAAGAAAAGAAAGAACCTAATCCTGATATGTCGTGAGCATCAATTCTATGCATGCACGGACACGTGTATTCATTACATGAATATTTTCAAAATAAAAATTAGAAAGAAACAAACAGTACAGAAAAGAAGGGTGGAGTCTGGACAGGGTAATGAAAGCGACGCAGTGATGGGAACAGTGACGTTAGTCAAGTGGTGCTTACTCATTCAACCTCAATTCAGATATCCCGGTTCTCAACCAATGGGAACCTCCTGAGTCCCATGCAAACCCCATCCCCGCTATGCATGTCTCCCATTGTGACGCCACGAACTCCACCACTGAGCCAATCCCTGAGCACCACATTTGAGTACTACGATCCTCCCATTTGGACCACAATGTGCCCTGCCGGATGTGGGCATCTGGGATCCTCCTGCCCTGGGCTGCCTCCACACCCCCAACCCCCCCCAAAGTGATTCTGTCGTGTGGCGCGGATGCCGCTCTGCGCCGGCGCGAGTCTCTCCCGAAACAATAAAGCAGTTGAGACGTTGAGACGCAATAATCGGGAGCGTTCGATTTGGTGCGCGGTGCGCTGTCATTTGGGAGCTACCGAAAGGCATTCGTGTTTGCAGGTATTGTGCACAATCGTTTTATGTCGCGGATTGTGATTGCGTGGTTTGGAGAGGAGAGCAGCGACGTCGGGTTGTTGAATGGCTTTGATGCGAGAGGAGGTCGATCAGAGTGGGGTGGGAAGGTTCGAAGTGTGAGGGTGGCTGGTGGATCGGGTGTTGACGTTTAGGGTTGTGGAATTAGTTGGTTGCGTTTCTCGGCAGACGATCCATCGGAGGCTGGCAAGTCGGGCATGCTTCGGGTGTGACGCGTGCTGCCGGCAAGGAACAAAGTGCATGGAGAGTTGCGGTATAGGAAATTCAGCTTGACTTGCGAGGAGCTTCTGTGGCCACATCCTTGCGCTGGAGCAGCACGGGTTCCGGCCATGGCTGCCAAGATCCTGAGTCGATTTGAGGGGCTGCCGTTCACTGTAGCTCGTCTGATTAGGGACCTTGCAACAAATCTGGCTGTGGGAGAGGGCTTTGCGGTTTCTTAGAATATTGGAGTGAGCACCGGCATGCAGTTTGTTTATGACTGGGAACATGATTTGGCCCCCTGCAAGCGGCAAAAGCTCAGTTGCTTTTGATCCATACGTATGATGATGGCGATAGATCTGGTGATGTTCAGGGCATGCTTCGTGCTCGTTCCTCAACTGTGTTGCGTTCTGTGATCAGTGTCGGGATGGTTTCTGGTGGAATGACCTGGGGACGGGCATGAATGAGAAGCAGGATAATCGGAATAAACGAAAGATCACCCTCAGGGGCGACCCAAGCTCGTTGCCAGGCTTCTATTCCTGCGAATAAGAAGAGGAGTTACAGCGATACTGTGCGCCCTGTAGAAGTCGGCGAACGAAGCGATATAGAAAGGACTGGTGCTGGCGTTCGAGGGGTTCGATGCTCATGCAGTACATTAGGTGTGCACCAGAGGGTCAGCGTTCTGAGCTCGTCGCTGCCACGATGATGCAAGGGATGGAATGTTGGGGTACGACACCCCCGCCCAAATGGCATTACAACCCCAATTCCAGCACAAATCTCGCCCAGATGAACGCTCCGCAGTTTCATCCGCCATGGAATGGCAATTGGGGTGATAGAGCCGACCTTGTGGGCACCGGCGATGTTCCAAACAAAGCGACAGCATACAGTCGAGCGCTTCGCAAGTCGTGCTTGCTGAATCAAAGGGGGTATTTGAAAGCGCGGCGCAATCGATCGGACTCTGCGGACAAGCTTCGACATCATCAGTCACGACAACGGCGAGCAATGAGCAACCTCGAATGCTGCCAGGTACGCCACGGCGCTCCTTGCTCCGCTTGACTTTTGCTTGTTGCAGTGCTGGGTTGGCACCTGTGGGAGGTTGCGGGCTGGATACTTGGCAGTGGGCGGCTGCAGGGGCTGGTGTTTGATCGACAATGCTGGAGGGGACAGCTATTCGGTTAGTCTGTCATCGATGTCTGAGCCTTTTGTTGTGGCGATTGGGCAGGGGTTTCAGTTTCTTTTTCAGAAAGAACTGCGAGCAAGCGACGTGAGCAGCTTGGGGCGTATCATCTTGCCGAAGGTCGATGCGTAGACCCAGCTTAGTGTCCGTCACTGACAGATTGTGTGTCAGAATGCATCAGGTGTGGGTATTGTTAGAAGCATGGAAGATATGGAAGAATTCGAGGGGGTTTTCTGATATTTTGCACCTGCGAAACGCTCCCGTCTGATTTGTGCAGAAGGATGCAGAAAGACATCTACCGTTTTTGGCTGTGCGGGAGGGTATCACAATGTCCTTGATGGACTACCATACCGGCCAATACTGGACGGCGCGCTACAGGTATTGGCCGAACAACAAGAGCCGTATGTATTTGCTGGAGAAAATCGGGAGTTTTGTGAGCTTCCACAAACTGGAGGAAGGAGACCTTCTGCTGTGCTATCGAAACCCGCAAGGGGCTTACGTGAGTTCTCATCGAGTCGGACAATTTTTGGCTTGGCGTGTTTGATAGTTGTGAGTGGTCATCCTCCTGCATGGAAATGGTTCGACGAAAGTATCGTGAGCACAGCGTAGCAGACTCACATTCGACAACGCAGTCGATGAAAAAATCGTGGCGATGCTTTTGTGTAGGTCATCCGAGGCAGGAGGGTGGCAGCTGAAGCGATGAGCAGCCCCAGAAGAGAGCCGAGTCCCGATCGTGCGCAGGCGAAGGAAACTGCAACGAGGCCAGTTGTGCTGGAATCATACAAGGTAACACTTCAGGCAACTCAACACCGTGAGTCCCAGGCTAGGGAGCTACTGCTTTGTGTTGCACAGCATCTCATGTTGGTCATGCTGATGAGTGTGTACATTTGTGGTCGTGGAACCGAATGAAAGGATGAATGCAACAGCACGGGGAGTTCAGATGCGAGCAACCCATCATTCGACACGCCAGATAGCGCTCTGGAAGAATTGTTGAGCGGGAAGGATGTGAGTGATTGTATGAGCGGGCTACAGGATTTTCTTGATGGGGACTTGGGGATTACGAGAGACTGGCAGGGCGAGAAGCTGGGAGGAAGTTTGGTTCGGTCGTTCCAGCCGCCTCTTCTGGATTTGGACTTCGACCCAGTGGAGGGAATGCTTTGTATGCCTAACGTGAAGCAACGGTACATGGACTGAAAGAAGCGCATCATATCATTTTTTTTTTTATTATATATGTGTGCACCACAAACAAGAATGACGATGACAGTTGTACGAGATGATCCTTGAATGCCAAGGGCAAGCGATCGAACCTGAATGTTAGTCATCATATAAAGATGCGGAGATACTTGAGCCGTCTTCAGAAAAGACTGAAGAGCTTTGGACTGTACTCATGTGTACATCTTTTCTTTATTCATTCGTTGGGAATAATTTCCTGGCAATAAGCCACAGATGGTCTATTTTTGGTGTTGTGAAAAGTCATGTGCAAGGCTAAAATATAGTGTGGTTGTTGACATGAAGCTATTCTTTAGAGTGTTGTACCACGACACTAGATTTTGTTGAGATTGGGGATTTACAGAAAGTTCTGTTTGGGAATGTACAGGGATTCTAGTTCTGTTTGGTGAACACACTTTGTGTACAAGATGGATTTGATTTGGCAGCTTTGGGTGGAGGGGTGGTTTGGAAATCATGCATGAAGTTGTTTACAAAGTAGAGTCGATGGAATGTATTGGTAGTCATGTATCATTGCAACTCATATGTATAAATTCCCGATTAAAAAGTTACAGATATTGGTGCAAGGCTACAACTGATATTAAAAAGGTGATAGGACAACAAAGTTTTTGAAACAATCATTTTAGTATGTCTAAACAAAAGTATTAATGGTCTATACCAATATAATCATATGTTAATAGTAATGTGAATTACAATTATTATTTCTTCTTAATAAAATAGCTTAGTAGTTAACACTTTTACAAAGATTTTTAGTTAGATTAATTTTCTTTTGAAAGTTAGTTATAAAATAATAAAAATAAATTATTAGCAAATAAAATTCTTGTTACAATACAAAGTTATTAGTATTTTTTTTCATCTTTTATCATTATCTTTGTATAACTACATAGTTTTTTTATGTGGATAAATAAATTTAAATGGAACATGTTATAAGGAGACTCCAATAGTTCATAAGCAATATTTATTGCAAAAAATAGAATTATATATCCAAGTTACAAAAAGAATTGCATCAAGTCCAAAATAGAAGTATATTGGAAATATATGATCAACATAACATTTTAACTATTCCAATGAAAGCTTTGTGAAATAGAAAAAGTGTGTTTCGACTATAAACCTTACATCTAAAGAAAATTGTGATGGAGTTAAGTTCTTCAAAGGAACATTTAATGGAAAAAAAATGTATTAGATTTTAAAGCTTAAAGAGATTTGTTACTTTGTCATTGTAACCACATTATTGAAATTGATATAAATATTATGAAGCAAGAGATAGTATATTTAGAGCAATTTGTTGTTATAAAAGGCTTAGTACAAAGAAAATATCTTCAATTAAGCTTTGAATTATAGTTATTAAATCTATAAAATAATTTTTCATTTAATTAATATATAATATATTATAAATTTAATTGTTAAAAATCAAAATAAATATATTAGATATAAAAATAAGATAAAATTTAATAGTTTTTTTTATAATGACTTTGTTTGTGTATGTATTGTACAAAAAGAGATTTTAAATTTTGATTATTTTGCTTTAAGTTCTTCAAAAGTCCTATTGAAGATTCTAACTTGGGCAAGTGTTAGATGAATTTTGTGCAACTATTATTACCATAGTAAAAAAAAATTAGATTCTTTTATGTAAAGAAAAAAATTGATTATTATGATAGATTTATAAAGAAATTAAAGTCTTCTTTAATGCTTAAATTAATTATAGAAAAATATATATTCTTATATATGTTTAAGACATGAATGTCAAAAAACTAAAGGATCAAACACATTCTTGTGTAACTCAAAAATATTAGAAAATTACTCAAAAATGATGTAGTATTCAATTAGAACAACTATTGTCAAAGACAAGAAGATTAGAAAGTCTTGAAACAAAAATGAGGATTAAGAAAGTGTTGACAAGAGTGAAGAATGCTTCACTTTTTCTTCTATATATACTATCTAATTAGGAATAACGTGGTGATGTTCAATAGGTCCTCCAATACATGATGACTTTATAAGATGTATTTTAACTTACAAAGTCAAGTTTTCTACAAGTGCACCACATAGTTAGCTTGTTCCACAACCTATCGACACATGTGACATGCGGTTAACTTGTTGACAAAATTTCTAATCTATCAACCCACTACAAATATGTATAAAGTCAAAATCCCATCTATGAAGGTTCTACAAAGCTTTTTTATAAGATATTATGAAATTAATCCACTTTTTCTTACTTCTATCCAATCAAATAGGAAGTATTGAAATAAATATGATGTCAGGGACAAAAACTTGATGAAAGTAAATAAACAAGTAAAACAAAATGGAAATAAAGAAGTATGTATATTAAAAGGAAATTGTAATGGCTATTGCTAGAAGACAAGGAAACTAGATAGTGGATAGAAATATAATAAAAAAATACATAGTTATATATATATATATATATCTATATATATATTACTATAATATAAAAATTTGGTTGATGGTAAGTAAATTGTCCAATGTCTTTGTAATTACTACTATTTTAATATTTGATTGATATTTCTGATTATTCTATTAGTTTGATGATAAAAATTCATACATCGAATCTACATTTTTTATTATCCAGATTAAATCTTTTAAATTTTTAATACAAATAAGAATCTTAATTGAATATAAAATCATTAATAAATTTCAAATTATAATATTTTTTATTAGAATAAAGATTAGATATTATATATATATATATATATATATATATACTAAGTTATTTTGATCACATAATTTGTAATTATTGAAATTAATTTGTAACAACAAGAAGTTAATAGATTTATAATACAATTCTCTTAAAACATACAGCTGTAGAAGTTTTTAAATATGTTGTAATCAAAAGAGATTATTCAATTGGAAACATATAAAAATATTTATAAAAAAATTCTAGGATTTTATTATTTTTGATTTGTCTTTGTTTTAGACCTTTACCTCTTTTTCATGGATAATTTCAATAAAAAGGAACATCTTTAGAAAATTAAGATTATATTTTTAATTTTTTTTTGAAATTTATAATAATATCTTTTAATTTTTTTAATTAGTATTATGGTCCATTAAACATTTTTTAAAATTTTACAACAATTTTTCAATCTTATCGCAAGCATATGAAGTTTAATTTGTTTATTGGCCATTAAAAATAACAAGAATCAAATCCATATTTCTTGCTTGGAAGAATAATAACTTATTATTAATTTATATCCTCCTAAATTTTTTTCATTTAATTTAATTTTTTTTCTCCTAAAATTCTATTTAAATAAAAAATTACTAATCAAAAATACTAAATTAACTAAGATAATTACTTTCAAGACTTATTAAGATTTTATTTTTAAGATTTGTTTTTTTATATGTATCTTGTTACTTATAAATCCTTTCAAATTATAGTGAACAATTTAATAATATAATAGGATTTTTAATTCCAATATTTTTGTATTTAAATAATTTAAAATTCTTATTTTGTAATAATTCTACCAATTAAGATTTATTGGTGGAATACACAAACTCTTCATTGATAATTGTTTCAATTAGAGGTAGTAGTAATTGTTTTTTCTTTAGAATATTAATCATAATATAAGATTTAATAAAAGATATATAAAAATGTATGATAGTGGTAACATCCAATTTTGAATTAAATTAATCTATCTTTGTATTGTGAAAAAGGTGGTGAATACACATATAAAGCTTTTAAACAGTTCTGTGAGAAAAATTGTATTGAAGAAAAAATTTCTATGCCTTATATAAATTAAAATAAATCCCCACTAGTTGGAAGCCTATTCTAATTTACAACAATTTTCACAACCACTACTCAATCTATGAAGTGATTTAATAAAAGTTGATTTATTCTAATTCACAACCACTACTTAATCTATGAAGTGATTTAATAAAAGTTGATTTATTCTAATTCACAACCACTACTTAATCTATGAAGTGATTTAATAAAAGTTGATTTATTCTAATTCACAACCACTACTCAATCTATGAAGTGATTTAATAAAAGTTGATTTATTCTAATTCACAACCACTACTCAATCTATGAAGTGATTTAAACGAATAACCACAACAATACAAGCCAACTTAACAACTCAAATTACCACACACTAAAAAGAAAATCTTTTATATGTTTTTTTTTTTTTTTTATGTTTATTTTTTAATTATTTTTGTTCAAATTCAAACTCAATTGATCATGATTTGAGTACAAGATTGGTTCAATAGTTTCTTGATCTGAAAATTCTCACAGCTAGGGTCTGATGATGATCCGGAGGCAATTAGAAGTCTCCAACCTAGAACACTTGTACTTTTAAGTCACGTTGCATTGTTCCGATCCTCACCTAACCCTCGATGAGCTCCTCTCGCAGGAGACACTCGGAATCCACTAGCTACTGGCAGCTCCCTTGTTGCGAAGCGATGGCCACTTACAAGACCGCAATACTTCAAAGCATGAACAGAACTACTGATTTGTAGGAGCAATCCATGTAATCCTTGAGCTTCACGCCAATTGCCTCCCTTACTATGAGGATCTAATGTCACACTAGAACTAACTACTTACAGAGCAGATTTATCACAACACTACAATCCTATGACAGAACACCGCCTTCTTTGATTTTGAACTGGCCAAACAAGAATTGTCCTCGGAAAGCTTTCCTTCTTCTGCTGCTTCGAACCAGGCAGATTGTCTCTGTTGACGTAAATCTCAGCGAATCCACTTCGCACTGCCCTCCACAACGTCGGGAAAACTATTTTGTGTTGGAAAAATTGCAGCTGCCCCTATGGTTCACGGATATGACTCGGAGGAAAGAGATCATGATGTCCTACTCGGGTATTACAGTCACGATTTTTTGGCGACGACACTTTTAATGTGTTCGGGGGTCAATGCCCTGAGAGAAGGATTTTACGCCACCAGCTACCTCAATGCAGAGGGAATAATTTACGAGAAGATGCAAGTGCTCGTTGTCGACAAAGATCTGCCTGCCTACATCCTCCGTCTTCACTTCCACGACTACCTCGTTTGTGGATGTGATGTATCCGTGCTCATAGTTGGATCAGGAACAAGCTCCAGCCGCTGCAACTTGATCCTACACCTCGTTGACCTTGGATTCGGGAAAACTAACGCCTTAATTGTTGCCCCCAATGCCAATAGTATGCCACTTTAGCAATTCTTTTGCAATCCACAACACCCACGATGCCGTCTAGCATCAAGTGTCTCGATCCCAAGGCTATTAAGTGGTATCACAGCTCGTGGAAAAAAATGAAGAAGGAACCCAAGAGCGTCGATCCCAGG